CAAAAGTTATAGACTAGAAACCAATTTCGAAAAAAATTGAAAGGGCTGTAACTTTTGAACTAGTAGCCCAATCTTGGAACTGTTTGAAATTATGGATTCTACAGGCCACATTCTATAAGAAAAAATTTTTTCCGGGTCGATCTGAGACAATTTTTTTGAGAGCCTCAAAAAAAGGCAGTGTATTATAACCTTCCTTTTTTACCAAAAATCGACTGCACCAAAATTTCTCGGGAAAACACTTTTTCTTATTAATTTTGGTGCGTAGAATCAAAAACAATTCGTACTTTTTCGATCAGACTTCTCAATCAAAAGTTATAGACTAGAAACCAATTTCGAAAGAAAATTCAAAAGGCTGTAACTTTTGAACTAGTAGCCCAATCTTGGAACTGTTTGAAATTATGGATTCTACAGGCCACATTCTATAAAAAATTTTTTTTCCGGGTCGATCTGAGACAATTTTTTTTCGGGGCTCAAAAAAAGGCAGTGTATAACCTTCCTTTTTTACCAAAAATTGACTGCACCAAAATTTCTCGGGAAAACACTTTTTCTTATTAATTTTGGTGCGTAGAATCCAAAACAATTCGTACTTTTTCGATCAGACTTCTCAATCAAAAGTTATAGACTAGAAACCAATTTCGAAAGAAAATTCAAAGGGCTGTAACTTTTGAACTAGTAGCCCAATCTTGGAACTGTTTGAAATTATGGATTCTACAGGCCACATTCTATAAGAAAAATTTTTTTCCGGGTCGATCTGAGACAATTTTTTTTTCGGGGCTCAAAAAAAGGCAGTGTATAACCTTCCTTTTTTACCAAAAATCGACTGCACCAAAATTTCTCGGGAAAACACTTTTTCTTATTAATTTGGTGCGTAGAATCCAAAACAATTCGTACTTTTTCGATCAGACTTCTCAATCAAAAGTTATAGACTAGAAACCAATTTCGAAAGAAAATTCAAAGGCCTGTAACTTTTGAACTAGTAGCCCAATCTTGGAACTGTTTGAAATTATGGATTCTACAGGCCACATTCTATAAGAAAATTTTTTTTCCTGGTCGATCTGAGACAATTTTTTTGGGGCCTCAAAAAAAGGCAGTGTATAACCTTCCTTTTTTACCAAAAATCGACTGCACCAAAATTTCTCGGGAAAACACTTTTTCTTATTAATTTTGGTGCGTAGAATCCAAAACAATTCGTACTTTTTCGATCAGACTTCTCAATCAAAGGTTATAGACTAGAAACTAGGGAATGCAATACCGGGATTGCGGGATCCCGAATTACCGGGATCTCGCAGCATTTTTGTGAGATTAATCCTGCACATAAATGGAGTGGGATCCCGCGGGATTTGCGGGACTGAGGAATTTGTCGACCAAGGGGACGACTCTGTTTACTTTGTTAATGATACTTTTTTCGTTAAAAATATACTATGATTTTTGAGGCACTTTAGAAGACTTTTTGTGCTTTACAGGTAAGGTTTTTTTGAGTTCTAAGTTAGGCCGAAGGTACTTTTTGTTACATATTGTAATAATTAGCGATTTATTTTAATACAGAAGTTAACCGCACAGAATTGCTTATTTGCCAATTTTAAAGTTTTGCGAGATCCCGCAAATACCGGGATCCCGCGGAATTAACATCTAACAATCCCGCAAATACCGGGATTGAGATTTTGCTGCGGGATTGCATTCCCTAGAGCCACCATTTGCTAAATTGGGTCACTGGGTCATGCACCAGATTTGATAACAACATTCGATCCACAATCAAGAAACAACTTCCGTAACTGTTTAGCGTAATAATTGATCATTATTTTGCCTCTTCAAGGTCATAAGCTATCGCATTCAATTAATTTGTTACCTTCACTACTTTGCGAACTCTGTTAAGTTATGGTCGAATTTTACACGCGAATGTTATGGTAGCCCGCCACTTCCTTATGGAGAGGTTGGTCGAAAATGTATCGTACTTGTGAGCTTACTACGAGTTTTCTTTTGTTTGCAGATTTTATGGATCCGGGAATTGAGCTCACTTCTCTGGATAACATCTTATTAAATCAAGGTAAGCGTTGCCTTACTTACTTGTATTTGGCACTACACGTGCGCATTTGTGTTGTGGGACTTGGTTGTAAGATCAAGTAGAAATTAATTTAATCGATCATTCTGGGTGAATTTAATCGTAGAATCAAGATACTCCGATTTGTATTTAACGTAAATTATAATTTTGGACCTTTGAATATTTGTGTACACTATCCCACTTTTTTTGATTTAATACTTGTGGGCAACAAATGGTATCTAAATTGACTTGTATTCTTTGTAATCCCCCCGTATCCCCCGTATTTTATGCGGGAAGAGTTGAGTTAGAAATTGAGTGGCACTCAACCCCCGATGAGTGCACCGGAGTAAAGATCATTTTAACCAGAACGAACTACCGCTGTGGAAGATTCTTAAGCATTTATTTTGTGTTTTACCCTGAGCTAGTTGGCCATTTATGCGGCGGGTTTTACGAGATGGTTAGTTTCCCTTTATCATCGCGTATAATACAAAACTTTATTTTACCGCAGAAGCCATATAAATGATTGTAAAGCTTTTGACAATTCTGAATTTAATTTAAACGTCAAAAATAGCAAGCTTAGGTCCTGTCATCGCGGTCATTTTCATAGAAACAGCATTTTCATATGTTACGAACGTCATTTTATATGGTTCTTCGCGTGGCATTTGAAATAAGAATGACAGATGTCATCAGAAAGCACGATCATCTGTTTCACTTTATCTATCCTTAATTCCTTAAGCAATCAGATCATTTGAATTTAAATAAGTTTCCTTGTTTTTCATAGTACCTGCAGTAAATATTTTGAAGTGGCCAAACGGTAATTCGCTTCCATTAAATTTTAAAGTTAATGAGAACATTCACTGTCTAAACCAGAACATTTGTAATAAATTCCGTTAAATTCCAGTAAAAGCTTTGAGAAAAAAACGTCAAAATGTTAGACACCCGTATCATACCGCATTTTACATGGTATAAAAGAGAGCTTTTCAAATCAAGATTTTAAAAGAAAAGTAATTTTAAACATCAACGCGTAAGGACCGCTTTGTAAAAGCGGCTGTTTCATTTTCGAAAATCCTGCTTAGGCTAGTCAATTGTAAAAACGTTTCGACATTAACAATTGAAAATTTTCTTTGTTTCCCCACACCAATTGTGAGTTTAAATGATTTCTTTTAGAATAAACACATACAGAGAATTGGAACTACATTTCCCCTACATAATCAATAAATTATTCAGTTCGTTGAATAAAAATCCCGGTAGCTGATTGACGTGTTATAAACTTTCCCTTTTACAACGCGTTTCATTACGCCTAATACTTCATTCTAACATTGTGGAATGGGTAAACTTCCGTAGACGAATAAAACTAATTATATTTTTATGTTTACATGTATTCCAAATTGTTTGTTGAATCAGAAGCACGTCGAATAGAAATGAAATACATTTTGAAGCCCTAGAGATAAACATTTTATTGAAACGGTACACCCCAGAAGTGATTATTTGCGATTCTTATTTTTAGGGATCCGTATGTTGTAACAGTAGCTCTAAATTTGGATTTTCTTTTTCGACTTTTGTAGATATAGGTACAGTTGAAATATTTTGCAGATTCAAGAGCTAGGCGAGTTTAGGCATTAGAAAAATTACGGGGTTTCGAAATTTAGAGGGCCGATATTGCAATAAATTATTTGACTAGTGAGAATGAAGAACAAATCTTTCGTGGAATTGAAGTTTTTCCTTTCTGCGTATTTTAATTTCTGTAGAGCATTGTTTGCATAATGGAGACGTGATGTCGCAGTAACTAGAGCGGTATCTTAATTGACCTCTAACGTGATCGTTGTGGAAGGTCGTCTTCGTCGCATAAAGGACGAACTAATTAAGCGCGACAAGATAGTTTCGTTGCCATAAAATCGGGTCTTATGTCGATATCCTTACTCCGTGCATGAAAAGTCGAATTTTCAGCCAGCTTGATGGCTCCCATGTTATCTTCATAGATTTTATTGGAGCAAACTATTCCTAATTCAATAAGAAAGGACTTCAAAAGTACATGGCTTCCTTAGTGCCTTCCGTCAAAGCCGTGTACGTTGCTTATAGGATTTTCTAAATATATAAATATGTAAAAAATATATCGCAAGACGCGTTTGGCGGCAATCGAATGCTTTTTGCTGTAACACCGTGCCTACAACACAGGAACAGGTACAACTAAGGAAATTGTACGGTTTTGAGACTTACTTTTGAAAATCTCTCAAAGTC